TGTAGAACTTAACAAACAGGATCTTTTATCCACTTATCTGCAGGGCAGCACTTCTGAAAGCCACCAGAGTAACCCAGATTACCATAGCTTCTCCACCACCTCTGCCCTAAGGGTGGAGCACATTTCAGAGAGGGCAAACCCCCCCCCCCACCTAGCCAGTTCTCAGTAATACACACCAAGTCAGCCCTCTCATCCTTATTAAATCACTGATAAAGGAGGCCACCCTGGCATTCAGTAGCAGCACAAAAGCCTGGGCCTCTGTGCCAATCTCAGAGCAGCACAATCTCCATCTTTCAGAAGGGACCAATTTCACTTACAAATAATCTAATATAAAACAGACTCATTTATGGATGTCTTCTAACATTACTCACTCATTTTGATCTCTTTTTATTTTGCTGAGTAACTTTCTTAGTCATCTTTGAAATATGCATTTTCAGTGATTTGTTAGGATCACTTTCCCATCCAGAATAAAAAATTATGCAGTGTAACAATTCTTCATAACCAAAAATATAGATGTATATCACCAGTTGTAGAGATCTCAAAGGGAATCTTGTGCAAACTGCAGATTATATATTGACTGCAGAAAACTTGAGCAGAGGGAAAGGGAGACTATCAGAGCAGACATCAATAGGAGAGAAATGGGTGATGCAAAAGACAATATGAAACACTCACTTTTGTATTAACATAAAATGGATCCAGGTCTTCCAGGGGAGTAGCGACCATTCCAGCAGGGATGTCACCATAAATAAATGGCAGCGATTTGCCAGCCTCCAAGTCACTACTTGGTTTTGGGCCATTTTCGTTATCGTCTTTATGGTCTTGTTTGGACTGCTTGGCCTTTTCTGCAGCAATGCGTTGTTCAATAGCTGCAAGAGACTCTCTAGTGAAGTAGTGAAAGCTGTCCGGACCTGGTGGTACAAGCACTGGCTGCTCCATCTTGTCATCCTGCACATTTTAATTACTAGTTATTCTCTTGCATAAGGAAGTACTGAAGGAAAGAGAAAAACAAGAAAGAAGATTAAAATCCAAAGGTGACCAAGGAGTGAATAAAAAAAAAATCATCACATCTTCATTAAGCTCACACAATATGCAAGAAAATAATTACATCTTTAGACTCACAAAATGAAGACTTTAAATATTCAAATTGTCTACTTTTGATGGGAATTCTTATAAGCTGATAGGATTGTTAGCTGGTTTTTCCCCACTGGCAAACTTTTGTAGTTTTTTTTATAGAACTTCATTAAAATTTTAAAACAGAAGATAAAATAACAAAAACTAACATTTAGAATAAAGTGAGGATACAAAAGAAATAAGAAAAGAACAAGGAAAAAAGTGCAGACAACAAAGAAGAGAAAAAAAAAGAAATGACTTCTAATGCTCTTTTACAGCAGTTATAAGTATAAATGTAAATTAACCTCATACTCCATAGTTACAACATTGTTTATACAATGTTGTAACCTATATATCATAATTTTATGATATATCAAACCTATATATCATAATTTTATGATATATCAAACCTATATATCATAATTTTATGTTTTTCTGTTTCATGCAAAAATAAGGGGTTTGCAAACTTTTGTAGTTTTTGGTGGCCTAATGATGGCCTGACCAGTCAAAATTATTTAGAGAAAGTTTTTGCTGGCATAAAGATTCCGGGAAGGGAAGACATAATTTGGTGAATCTGTTTGATACGGAGCTTTCAAAAGATACCAGAACTCTACCATGAAGCTCTTTCAGAAGCCTGGTGGAACTCCCAACAATCAATGAATAGTAGATATGAACCTAGCTGCTTCCTGACTCCGCTTCTATCAAAGGCCCATTCTAAAAGCTGATCATTTTTACGCTGCAAGCAACCTGAAGGATTGTGCTATCTCAGGATATTCAAACAGGCTTTCACTGCAAACAGTATTTTATTAATTATAAAATATGAGAAAGTTGTTCCACTATAGAAGCCCAAAGGAAAAATTAGTTAATTAAACAACAGTAGTTAATTACAAAAGGGTTCCATTCAGCTATTTCTCCCTGCATTTGCTTTCAGCAGGATTTATCTGTGGTCTTCAGAATTAGGTTAGAAAGTGTGTGTGTGGGGGGGGCCATTGGATGTTATATTCTTTATTTGATGCAGCCATTAAAAAAAAAAGCATATCAAGTTGATACATGGAGAAGAGCATATTTTCATTAGCAACAATACAACCCTAATATATTTAGCTCCTACAGGCTAGTATTCCTGAGTACCCAAGGTCACTGCAGTTGTAAAAAGCAGTATACAAGCAGATGGTTTTATTTCTTTTAAATATACTATTTTGGAAATGCGCCTAAGAAGAATACAACATATTATCATAAATACAGCATGTGGCCAAAGGTCAATAAAGCAATGAGGAATGTGGGGAAGCCAGGAAGCGATGGGAAGGACTGCTTGCCCTGCACCTTTTATGCTGGGGAATGGTTTTCTTACTTTTGCAGGCCCAGATTTCAGAGGCCTAGTGGGTGGAAAGCAAAGATCTCCCCACGTCTAGAGTAGAATTCTGTGTCTGCAGTCTCACCATTGGCAGCCTGTGCTTATTACAGCCAGAGCTACTTTGCCAGACAAAGGGAAAGATGAAGAATAGCAGAGAAGCACAAAATCGAATCCTGGTCAGAAGGGAGACCAATCACCAGAACTGAGAAAAGATACTGACAGAGGGCCGTGAGCCCCTGGAAGCATATACCGTATATTCATTAAAAAAGCAAAATAGAAGGCAAAGCAAAGTGACAAGAGAGGGAATAAGGGGGGGGGGTGGAGAAGGAGGAGGAGGAGGAAAGAAAAAGGAAAATAAAGTTAAAAAAAAACTTTCAGAATTATGTAAGATAAATAATTTTATTGATCCTGATCTCTCTCTCAGTTGCAAGTGTTTGGAGACAAAGAAAAAAAAAACCTTAATGGAAGCAGGGAAAAGCCCTACGCTGCAAAAACAGCTAATGGATCCTTAATGCACTTGCAAAAAAAATAAAGGCTGGGTTTCGAAGGTCTCCCTTGACCGCATCTGTTAAGTGGATGTATTTCAATATAGTTCAAGTTTAACATCTGAAACAACATTAAAGCAGGAGAGATGGTCCAGCCACCTGTTAAGACTTATCACACACACATACACACCAAGCTCCACACCAGCATCACTGCACTGATTGCCAGACAATTGATAATCCATTATATACCATCAATTCCTTGGAATATATTATTTATTTATGAACACTGTTTTTATTGCATTTTAATTGGTTTTTATTCTTATTTTTATTGTAAACCACCCAGAGTTGCTCTCTGAATCAGAGGAGTGGTGACTAAACTTGAAATATAAACAAACAAACAAACAAACAAATTTCCCGCCAGTTGATAGCATCCAGAGAGCAGGAAGGCAGCACCCAGAGGATTTTATCAGTTGGTCTGCTTAACATGTACTGTAGGAGTCAAAATCAAGATGTGAACATTCAGCAGCAAACCAAATGATAGACAATGTCATACTTGCAGGATAGGGACTGGAAATGGGGACAACAAATTTTGTGCCAGTATAGTTTTCTGCCAGTACAAGACCTGGTAAATGGTCCTTTTAACTTGGCAGTAAGGAAAGGCCTGTAGAAATGTCCAGCCCTATACAGCTGTGCAAGACTAAGACTTCTGCAACATCTCTTGAATGCTTGTGTGAGGTCAACGCAGAACCTTGGAAACTGTAACAGGAGTTCCCCAGCCTCATTTTTAGTGAGTTGATTAAGGTGAAGTCTCTTGGCATACTTTGAGATGCTTTGTTCCAGATTTCTCCCCATTGGGGCTAAACTGTCATTTATAAAATAAGCTATCCACCCACTATTTCTTCCTTTCCTTTCCTTTCCTTTCCTTTCCTAACCTCCCCACAATCCAATATCAAGAAGGTGGTAGGCTCTAACCAAAATGGTAACATTGAAAATCTTAGATCAGTAACCTTAACAAGTTCTGGGATAAGAACCAAAGCAGCACAGAGTTTATCGCCCTGCAAACCCGGATGTTGAAGGACCAAAAAAGGGGCTATTCTTGCCTGTTCACTGTAAAGAAGCCATTTCCAACTTGGCACTCACCCAAACTGTTGGACTTCAATTCCCATTGATCCTTAGCTCTGGCTAGGGATTATGGGACTCCCAAAGAGTCTCAGCAAAAGACAGGATGATTGAAATTTTTTCCCCATCCTCTTAAATAACCAAAGTTAACAGATGCTACTGATTATTCAAGCCCTTTAAACAGCTCTGCCAATTGTGCTTTGCGGCTCATTGTAACAAACTATGGAGAAGCTGGAGCAGCACAGGCACTTCCTCCATGACAGAACTTCACCTCATGAGTGATCGGGAATTCGAACCTGAAGGAAAAACGGCTGGTCCTGGCATGTGCTCATTCCACATGTATTTAGTTATACTTCTAGGTATTTATACATTCCTTCAAATGATCCCAGGGTGAATGTAGTAAATTTACCTTTGTTTTTCTGGAGTATATGTTTACAAGTTTATTTTGTTCATGTATTTATCCACCTTTTTTAACAGGAGCTTGTGATGGCATATATTGTGCTCCCTCCTTATTTTTCCCTCAGTAACAACCCTGTGAGGTAGGCTGGGCTGAGTGGGATAATAATCACAGTAGTGCGGCTCAAAAGCAGTCTTTGCTTCCCCCTTTTACTCACATCAGATGAGTCTTGAAGTTCAATTTCTGATGGTATTTTATTATGTCTAGATTTTTTTTTTCTTCAGAGAAAATCTGAGGGGCAGAGGAGGTTTCAAAAATGAAACCACCACCCAGGATTTTATTTTATTTTGAATTCTTCACTGCCATACTGCATTTGAATGAAAATCTTGCCCTTCTCAAAACTGCTGTTAATTCAAGGAGGAAATCTTTGGAACAAATAGTAACTTCCTTCAGAGGTAAATAGCACTTTTGGTGGTTCCCCCCCCCCCACAGTACTAACACGGGGAAAGGTATTTTAACTATACGGTGCTGTAGTTCCAGTCTCATTTGAGTTTCTTGGATTTGTTATTTAGATTTTTAAAAAAGCTTGCAAAACTAGTCATATTAAAGGCAACTGAACACATTTAAGCTGGCCCTCTGTTTTTAGACTGGAAACTCCTCTATAGAAGAGACCTATTTATTTTCCCTGTGTAATTAGGTAAGTTTAAATTAAGTACTGTACATTCCAACCTGAGCAATGGACTGGTGCCATCTGTTGTTTTTATTTTCTCAAAATGCCTCTGAGTCCTATATGTGGACCTGAGACATTCCTGGAAATAAGGATGATGCTGAAGGCTGCCTGTTTACGGCAATGATGTTTTCTTTTTAAAAACATTAAATGGGAAATTGGCATGCTAGAAAACAAAGAGCAATCTCTCTCTCTCTCTGTTTAAAATGTTAAAAAATGAGGTGGGGCAGCGAACCAAGCAATTTTTTAAGGAGTGGTCACAGCCACACGGCTGTGCAGAGGCACCACACTGGACTAGCAGTTGTAAGCAAAAGCTGATGCAGCTTAACTAAAAGGAAAAATATGGCACTATAAAACCATGATGATACTGTTTGCTTAGGCAAATATCTGAATGGTGCTTCTCTAAGTACAAAGAAAGCTCAAAGTGATTAGAGTATCAGATATGTTCGCAGCCTTGAGTTATATATATAAACATCTAATAATAATAATTTTTGTCTAATTTAGCTTCTCTTTTAAAATTTATTTTATCAGTTGGCTTGCACTGCATTTTTTTTAGCATGATAGCTTTGTATTCCTTTCTGCATTTTTATATTGGCTTTATTAATTTTATTAGCTTTTTGGATTTTTGTTTTGCAATATTGTTTAGTTTTAATTGTACAAAACCATATAGATGCCTGTTTTGCCAATAACAGGAATTGCATTTTATGGAAGTCAATGGTGTCTCAAAGGGCATGTTCCTTTTGTGCTTCTTTG